CCGCCGGCCATCAGCTGGTGGGCCTGGCCAACCTGAAGCCGCCGCTGGCCGGCGAGACCGACTCGTACATGTACCAGACGGTGGGCCAGGACGCCATCGAGCACTACTCGGAGGCGATGGGCGTGCCGCTCTTCAGGCGCACCATCACCGGCCAGCCGGTGCGCCAGGAGATGGAGTACGAGGGCGCGGTGGCCGGCGACGAGGGGGAGGACCTCTACGAGCTGCTGCGGGAGATCCAGCAAAGTGGGACGGTGCAGTTTGAGGCGGTCAGCTGCGGCGCCANAGGCGCACCATCACCGGCCAGCCGGTGCGCCAGGAGATGGAGTACGAGGGAGCGGTGGCCGGCGACGAGGTGGAGGACCTCTACGAGCTGCTGCGGGAGATTCAGCAAANCTGAAGCTGCTGTCGCCGCTGTGGGAGCGCGAGCAGACAGCGCTGCTGCGGGAGATGATCGACGCCGGCATCGAGGCCATCCTCATTAAGGTGGCCGTGCTGGGCCTGGAGCCGGCAAAGCACCTCGGCAAGACCATCGCCGAGATGTACGACGAGCTGGTGGCGCTGAAGGACCGCTACGGCATCAACGTCTGCGGCGAGGGCGGCGAGTACGAGACGCTGACGCTGGACTGTCCGCTCTTTCGCAAGCGCATCGTCATCGACCAGATGGAGATCATCCGGCACGGCTACACCGCTGAAGATGGCGGGGGTGATGAGAAGGGCCTCGCCCAGGTCGCCTACATTCAGCCGCTGAAGATGCACCTCGAGGAGAAGAAGAAGGTGGTGGTGGTGGAAAAGACGACTTTGTAGAGTTTGTGTGGTGTTGTTGCTGCTGCCTTGCTGTAAAATAAAGTGCTGCTTTTCTTTCTGCTATCGAGGCAAGAAGTACTGCGAGACGGAGGTGATGCCATTCTGCTGTCCTCCCTTCAACCTCGCCATCAGCGACTGGTCGACCAGAGTGCTCATATCGCTCCTCTCCGACCACTCATTGGAGGCGTTTGGCCAGAACTGTTGTTGTTCAAGGTTGTTGTTCGGATTCGGCTGCTGCTGCTGCTGCTGCTGGTACTTTCCATCAACCGACACATCTTCAGAATTTGAAGTGGTCGGCGGCGTCTTTGAGGCGGTGGCACTGCTGCAGGCGTCTTCCCTGGAGGCACCCACCGCTGAGGAAACAGGACTAAACTGATCCTGGTCATCTGGCATTTGCTGTTGCTGCCACTGTTGTTCCTCTCTCCTCACCATCTTCTTCCGCTGATGATGTCTTCGAGGACACT